GCGAGAGGTGATCGGAGAGAAAAACCGGTGGTCGGTCGTGAGAGAGCTCAGTCGGGGGAGAGAGGGTCGAGCGGTCGATTTCGGGGGGAAGAGAGGGTCGAGCGGCGGTCGGTTTTGTGAGGAATGAGATTTTTGAAAATGACCTAGGACTAATAGGACCCATTTTTTACCACGTAAGATACACGTCATCATTTTTTTGTTATAAAAAAAACTGATCTATTTCCTCAAATTCTGATTTTCTCCGGTCTCTTTTATCAAATTTTCTCATTTTCAAAATTAGAGGAAAAAAAAAAAGGAAAAAAGAACACTTGGCACCGGCACCGCTTCTTGACAAGACCAACCCGTTTGTGGGTCCCGCCCGCCATGAAAATGTGGTCATTGGATGCCCTCACAGGCAGTGTAGAAACATCCCGATGGATGGAGAAAGGGTATTCATTTTGTTTTGTCGTTCGTTCTCACTTCCAGTCCACACACAAGGCACACGTTTCTGTGTCCCCAAAACTTGTCTTTTAATCTCTTACCCGTTTTAATCCCGTCTTTTAATGCTCTTTTTGTTCATTCCGAATATTCACCTTTCCGTTTTAATCTAAATCTGTCCATCACTTTGTACCATTGATTCCAAATCTAGTTTTGTATATGAAATTTTAGTGCCTTTTTTTTTTTTTTTGGTCCTCTCTACCAAAGGAATTTACCAAGCTTACACCAAGAACATCCGATTCAGCTTTTAGTTTTCTCGCATAATGCCTTGGTGGGATCTGGGATCGCTTTCTCGCCTTAGAATCTTCGGTGGCGGCTTTCAGGTTAGTGGGTTTTACGCATAATTGGTATTTTAGCTTTCAAATTTTGTATCACAGTTCGTTTTACAACACAATATCAGTAACTACTATTTGGGTCTTTCTTGTTCTGGTATTTTGTCTGGCTTGTTTCCTTTGTTGTTGACTTTATTAGGAACCATTGGTTCGTAATTGGTGATCCAGCTAGTTGGTTTTCTTTTTTTTTTTTTTTTTTTTTTTTTCCGGGTTTTTTTTTTTTTTTTTTTTTTTTTTTTTTGCCAGGATTGTCTTTTAGTTGTTACTAGTTTTGTAATGTGCTGAACGTATTGTAGTCTTGGAGATACTGAAGAGTTTATTATTCAGTGAATAATGAGAAATTCAGTTATATAATCATTTAAGAATTTTTGAATTTATTTTAAAAAAATATGTGTAAAAATAACAATTGACAAATAAAAAATTAAGTAGGGACACATTTAAAGAAAATTATTTTAACTAACTAAAAATAAAATAAGAACACAAAGAAAATTTCTCTCAATTGAGGAACAACATATTTTAAAAAAAGCACAAAAAAATTAACAATTGGCTCTTTTATGTATTGGAACAACATATTTTAACAATTGGCTCTTTTATGTATTGTCCCCATAGAGAAGAGCTTTTGGCTCTTTTATGTATTGTTAGATTAGATTCTACCTGACATGAAATTTTGTGCTCCGGTTCGTTCTATTGTGTACCGAGTTCTTGTTTTGAGTGAATGTTTTTCACTGTAAATCTGTAATGGATTGTTGGAATTTTGGTTACTTTTTGCAAGAGTATTCTTTGGGAGTTAACGTCGTTGTCCAAGTGAATGTTAGACTAGGAAATGGGAATGTTTTGAGGGCCAATAGTGTTGAAGAATAACAATTTGACTTTGAAAAAGGTAAATATAGAAAATAAATCAGATTTGATTAGGATTGAGTTTATTTGATTTTTCCTTATTTGTGTATGATTTTATACATTTAATTACTTTCCCGTTTTGGTTTTGTAATTAGCCTATAAATTGGTTACACTGTTTTATTATTTAGACTATGATGAATGAATATTGAGTTGCATTTCTCCGATTGCTTCCCTCTCATATTCTTCCTCCTCTTCCCTCTCTCTGAGTTCTTTCTTAAATCCCTAATTCCTATTCTATTTCTCTCTCTTTTCTCTAAATTCCCCCTCTTTCTCTTCTCTATTTCCATTTCCCTCTCTAATTCTGCATCAATTTGGTATCCGAGAACGGTTCATTTCCTTTAGCCAAAATCCATTCTATTTTCCTTTTCCATTCACAAAAGTTTTACAAATTAAGAGGCCCAATTCACACTCAAGATTGATATGCTTCACCCTCAATGTTGGAGTTACATCCACTTTCATCCGCTTTGAATTTCACTATAAAGAAAATTACAAGAGAATTACACTCATTGCGCCTCTCACACTCTATATCTACGTCGGCTAGATAATTAGGCTCCACGCGCTCAAGTAAAGCTGATTTGCACCAGCCCTTAGGCCCACTTTAAGTTGGACTTTTAAAAGGGTGTTTATGAGGTCAAAAATAGAACAACTTATAACCCTTTGCTGTTTGGTACTTTCCAGTATTAGACTAGTTTGATATATTAGGTACCTGATGTTGTTAGTTTTTCCTTTAGCCGAGCAACCTGTCTTGATTCTTTAAAATCGGGTCCATTTCTTGGAACCTCAATTATGGCGGTTTTGTTGATCGGGATCTTTGTTTTTGTTAGGCAGTTGTCTATGGTTTTTGCTTTGAAACTTGCAAAATGTGCATAGTAGCAACTGGTGAAACAAAAATAAATTGAAAAAAAAGAAGCGAAAGCAATGAAAAGGTTTGGATTGTGCTTCAAATGAAAAGCTAGATACTTGAAGTGTAACTGTGAAACATTTGGTCCGTGAATTTAGTTGTGCTTCCTTTCTACCACATAAAGCCTTTTCTTTTAGTACTTATGTATGTACCAAAATCTACAATGATGTTTTCAATTTGGCATTATCTTGTGCATTGAAACCGGGGAAGGAAATGTAATGATATGGTTTCATTGTTTTGGCTCATGAGAACTTCACATTTTTAATGATGACTTCCATTTAGCATCAGTAACAGTTTTTTGCACTTTTGGCTTTTCATTCAAGATTTACTTCCTTTTTTTGTGTGTTTATTTGTATTTCCCCCCTAATTTTGTCAGCCCTTTTGAATGACATAAGGTTATCTTTTTTATGAAGATATAGACGTTGAGGATAGATTTTAAAATCATGGGGGTTGCTTTTGTGATATTTAATTCCTGAAGGTTTCTTTTGGGGTTATATAGGCTGTGTCAGGCAAGAGGGAAGAGCCATCTGCCATTACTAATGATTGGGGGCCACCCATTGACACCCCACTGATAGAACACAAGACTGAAGAGGTATCTCCTTTTTGTTTCAGAATGTTAGTTTCAAGGAGTGGGGGTTTCTTTCTGGTTGATAGAATTTTAGTCTAAATTGTTGACATGTTTATTTTCCCTTTGATTGAACCTTTCCTTATATGGAAATGGAAAACCTTCAATTTTCATTGACTGACGTAGCATCGATTGGCTCTTTCACTTTCCTAGCTATTTTTTGGCCCTTTTTAGTATCTTTTTTCTAGGCTATTGCGCTGTTCTTCCTTCATGTTGGCCTACACACTTATCCCAAGCCGCATTTTCACTAAAGGTCTTTGTTGTGCTACCATTCTATATATCGCCTATATAGGAGTATTATCACTTCCTTTTACTCTCTTTAGGCTACAGATTATTAGAAGAAATGTAGTTGAATTAGATATCGGAAACCGACCAATATGCATAAAAGTTTTCAGCACTCCTCATGTATATTGCATTTCTTGAAAACTCAGAATTTTTTTATTTATTTTTATTTTATAAATAGAAGGTGGGAATTCAGTTGTTCTACAGTTAGTCAACGGTATTTAGTTAAAGAGGAGTTCAACTGTTCAAAGGCATCGGTTAGATAATGGAATCGGGTTACCATGTCTTCCGTATATGGTTTGGCTCAGTCATATTTTATACTGGATTTTCTATCCAAATTATTGAAAATATGGTTTTTCTTTCTTGCCTTATACCATTTATCTGAATGATGATAATTGTGTGCTCAAAAAGACAGCTATTATTTCCCAAAAAAAAAAAAGGACATAACTATTACCCTATCTATTGAGTGTTTATTTTGATCATTCCGTTGGAAAAGAAATAACGTCTTATACCTGCTATTGGGCTATGAGAGGCTACCAATTAGAGTTCAAGTGTGGGCAAGGGTTGTTGTAACTGATTAGTAGTTTCTGTTAGCAGTTAGTTTGAGTTTCTTAGAAAGAATAGGTACTATAAATAAGAGGATCATAGCTAATGAGGAATTATGATCTGTTTGTAGAAGTTAGGGGAAAACCCTTGGGGAGAGTTGCAGTCTCTCGAATACTGCTTGTTACTAGGCTATTGGCCTATTCTCATTCTTGTTTTATTTGACTTTCCACTTCCATTCGATAAGGAATTATTTTCTTCTTGAGTTTTGTTGTCAGAATTGGGGTTGTCCGGCTATTAATTCTTGATTGCAGAATTGTATGATGACTTAAGTTTGATTATCTTTGCTATGAGTTGAGAACTATAACTTCTGTTACTGCTTCACTGTTGTTTTGCATTAAGGTTCATAGTTTTTGTAATTGTCACTCAGATTTTGGCTGGCCACTTCTCGCATAATGCATTATCTTTCTTGGAGATGGAGTTAGTTGAATTGGTTATATTATGGATCATTTTCTGTGTTTAATATATAATCAAATACCATGGTCTTTTGCATCTTTCCTTTCCTTATAAGACGAATTGAATTTCTTTTTGCTTCTTTGGACTCTAATGCCATTTCCCCTTCAGCTGCTCATCATATATTTGCGTTGTTTTGTAAGTTACTAGGATGAATATAGAAAGGCTAATAAAAGAGCTTTTGCCTCACATGTCTACTTTTCAGCACATCAGAATTGTTTTTCACCACTTAGGCCTGTCCTTTTTAGCAGTAATATTGAGCAATGCTAATCTGTTGATGTTTCTGTAGCCGCAGAGTGGAATGCATGAAGTTCAGCTTGGTTCACATACTGTTAGGTCCCACGGATTTGTAGTTGCAAGAACACACATGCATGATTGGTTAATACTACTGCTTCTCGTCTTGCTAGAGATCATCTTGTATGTTATACATCCATTTTATCGCTTTGTTGGCAAAGATTTGATGACGGATCTCAAATATCCCTTGAAAAGTAACACGGTTCCTGCTTGGGCTGTTCCTGTAAGTTTTTTTATCTTCTGTCATTTCATTAATATATGCCTAGACTTGCAGTGTGTTCCTTTATTGTGAACTGATGGAGACTATTTTCCGTTCCCTTCTTTTCTCTCTTGGCGGAGATCAGATGTATGCAGTTCTGTTGCCAATAGCAATTTTTCTTATTGTCTATTACCGAAGGAGAGATGTCTACGATCTTCATCATGCCGTACTAGGTGATGAAATTCATGGCCCAAATGTGATTTATTAGTATCTAACACAAGTAGGAAAATAAATTTTTATAGAAAGGTAGAATTGATTATTGGGAGTTGTTCGTTACTGCAGGTCTCTTGTTTTCTGTTCTAGTTACAGGCGTTATCACAGATTCTATAAAAAATGCAGTTGGTCGACCTCGGCCCGACTTTTTCTGGCGATGTTTTCCTGATGGAAAGGATGTACGGTCTTTCAGATTTAATCTTCTTTGAAATATCTACGATAGCGTAGCCATAGTTTACTAATTTCATGTCATATCATTGACTGTGGTGTCAATTTCTTATCCGTGCAGTTTTATGATCATTTGGGGAATGTTGTATGCCATGGTGAGAGCAGTGTAATTAAGGAAGGGCATAAGAGTTTTCCTAGTGGGCATACCTCGTGTAAGAAGCATCGCGTATTCTCTTTCATATATGACCTATAGAAAAGGTCTAGCATTATTAATAAGAAGAAAGTGTAACCAAAAAAAAAAAAGAATCTAGTCGAACAATAGAAGCACTGAATTCATCCAATATGTTTCTTACAGATGTTATATGTCTGCAGGGTCCTTTGCTGGATTGGGCTTTCTCTCTCTGTACTTATCTGGAAAATTACAAACATTTGATCGTAGAGGGCATGTTGCAAAGTTATGCATTGGTTTTCTTCCTTTACTTGTTGCGTCACTTGTGGGCATTTCTAGAGTGGACGACTACTGGCACCATTGGCAGGATGTGTTTGCTGGAGGTCTTCTAGGTATGCGTCATGATGAATTACATTTAGTTTAGCAACTTTGCAAAACCTTTTTTGTTGCTTCGAGTTCACTATTCGTAAACGTTTTCTGCAGGGCTTACGGTAGCTACCTTTTGCTATTTGCAGTTCTTCCCACCCCCGTATCACGAGGAAGGTAGAGTAAAAACTGAAAGCAATTTTGTTTACCAGTTTGTTATTGTCTGAAACCATTTCCTAAAGCGGGTTTTCTAGGTCCAAAGTCAGGTGGTTGGTATAATATCAGTTTGCGAATCAAAGTTTCTAAGGGCCCGTTTAGGATAGCTTGTGCTTGTGCTTTTAAGTAGTAGAAGAAGATAAGCATAAGTTTGGGCTTTTTAATTAGTGTTTGGGCAGTGTCTGAAAAAGTGCTTTTATATCTAATAAGAGCTTTTGAACTTGTTTGGGTAAAAAAGTTAAAAACACTTTTTGTTATAAAAAGTAATGTAATAAAAGGATATGAATGAGATATTTAATTTGTTATTCACAAATAAAAAGTTAAAAATGTAAATAAAAAAGCTTTTCATAAGCACTTTTTTTATAAGCACAAAGGAGATGGCTTATTCAAAAAGTGCTTCAAAAGGCCAAAAGCACTTTAAAGTTGGCTATCTAAACAGGTTCAAAAATGACTTTTAGACTAAATAAATCAAAATCAACTCTTTTTAAGCCAAGCCAAAGAGCCCCAAGATGATGTTGACTAGAGAATCACCACACAGAGTGATGTTTCAATTAGGTGCTACAAGTCATTATTATGTAAGACTAAACCATCCCTTGATTGCCTAAGACCGTTTTGTCTAGTGGTGTCTGGGGTTTGGGTGGGCTGCGGGCCCGTTTAGGATAGCTTATGCTTGTGCTTTTAAGTAGTAGAAGAAGATAAGCATAAGTTTGGGCTTTTGAATCAGTGTTTGGGCAGTGTTTGAAAAAGTGTTTTTATATTTAATAAGAACTTTTGAACTTGTTTGGGTAAAAAAGTTAAAAACATTTCTTGTTATAAAAAGTAATGTAATAAAAGGATATGGATGAGATATTTAATTTATTGTTCACAAATAAAAAGTTAAAGATGTAAATAAAAAAGCTTTTCTAAGAACTTTTTTTATAAGTACCAAGGAGATGGTTTGTTCAAAAAGTGCTTAAAAAAGTCAAAAATACTTTAAAATTGGCTATCCAAACAGGTTCAAAAGTGGCTTTTAGACTAAATATATCAAAATCAACTCTTTTTAAGCCAAGCCAAAGGGGCCCCAAGATGATGTTGACTAGAGAATCACCACACAGAGTGATGTTTCAATTAGGTGCTACAAATCATTATTATGTAAGACTAAACCATCCCTTGATTGCCTAAGACTGTTTTGTGTAGTGGTGCCTGGGGTTTGGGTGGGCTGCGGGTTTGAACACGCCTTGTATTGAAAGAAAAAAAGAAAAGGAAAAAAGAAAAAAAAAATCCCATGATTGGTCATTGTACTCTTTCCTGTAATATGATTACCTAATTCAAATTGGCTAAAATATTTTCCGCTTGGACTTTTTAGGAATAGCATTTTGAAAAAGGCATCTACTATAGTTTAAACTCATTCCGGCTCTTCTGCACTTGTATGTATAGGTTGGGGACCATATGCATATTTTCGGGTGCTGAAGGAGTCTCGTTCGGGTGGACAAGCAACCGGTATGGTGAATATGCATACTGTGCAGGCCACAAATTCTGAGGTTGGGAACCAAGAAGATGAAAATAGCAGCAATGGATTATTGGGCTTGCATTTAGCAAACAATCCACTTGCTTTGACGTTAGGAGAATTGGAATCTGGGAGGAGTTAACTGCGTGTACATTTCGTGCTTTTAGCCACAGCAAATTACGGGTTAAACTTTGCTCAGCACACGTATAGGCATGTATGCTATATTCCTTTGTTCAAACCTTTCGAAATAGCTTTTGGACTTGGGGTGCAAAAATCATATAAGCTCGAATGTATTGGATCCCATCAGAACTCCGCAGTCGAGCGAGCGTGCTTGAGTGAGAGTAGTGTTAAAATGGGTGATCTCAGAAATCATCTTGTTGCAAGTGGTCTGTTTATGAAGGTTTTACGTGTGACATATCAACTCTGTTTGTTTTATCGATTTGAGTTTAGAATTTGAATTTTGTTATAGTAAAAAATTTTTAAAAACAGTTGCATTTAATTTTTTTACTACAGTAAAAAGTTATTATATAAAGTTATATTTTAATTCGAATTAAAAATTTAAATCAACAACTCATTAGTTTTCTCTGACAACTTTTTTTTTTTTTAATTGTTTCAAGTTGTCTGCAGCCTGATTAAATGCTCGTCACAAAGGTTTATTTATTTTTTTCATAGTTTTATTAAAAATCACTCTGTAGAATGTGAGGAAAATATCTATCACTATAGCTCGCGTCTCCATTTCAACCTAATAGTATCTCGGTTCACCTTCAGCAGCCTTCGAAGCCAGGATTTTTTTCTTTGAAATGGCGAAATGATTTTGTTATTTTCTCTAATCTAGCGTGCCGTTCAACCGGAAGAGAGCTTCAATATTGTAGGTTTTCTTGGACGTAAAATTTACGATATTGAGCGCCTGTTTCGTTCATAATTTGAACGGAAAAGTTTGAACAAAAATTTAAAATTTGTTAGGTCCGGTTCACACTATTCATAAAATGAACAATAATTTCGGGCTCTCCTTTAACGTAGGTTATAATAATAATAATAATAATAATAATTAATGGCACCCTTACACTCTGTTTGGTAAGAAGAAATGAAAATGAGAAGAAAAAAAAAATTATAATGCATAAAAAATTAGAAGGATAGAAAAGATTTTGATTTTTCTTTAACTTGTTTGGTATGATAAGAAAAAAAAATGAATCTACCTTTTTTTATTTAGTATTAGAAGTGAAACTAAAGGGATATAAAAATTATTATTGGTGTAATTACTTTTTTGTCCAAATGAGGACAATTTTGGATGAAAAATGAGGACAATTCAGTAATTTGACTTCATTTGTGTAGTTATTCCTATTTTTCTTCTTAAAATTCACCAATTTTTAGTGGGATTAAATATGGTGGGATCCACCAATAAAAATTTTCATTCAATTTTTCCTTTCTTTCATAATTTCCTTTCTACCAAACAAGCTAGCTTCCTAATTTCCATCATAAATTCCCTTCCTAATTTTGATAATTGATCAAAACACGACACACACGATACGTGACACGAATTGCCACCCCTACACAAAATAGCAGGTGAAAGAGAAATTGATTGAAAGAAAGGAATGGCTAAATCCTCAACGTCATTTGTCTTTGTTTGCTTCATTTTATTGATTCTGGGGAAATCTGAAGCTCAATTAGCACCAGCATTGTATGTGTTTGGAGACTCAACGGTTGATGCGGGAAATAACAATGATATCAACACATATGCAAAATCAAATTATGCTCCTTATGGTGTAGATTTTCCTTGTGGAGTCACAGGCAGGCCTACAAATGGTCGTAACGCTGCTGATTTCATTGGTAAGTTAGAACATCCTTTTCTGCAAAAAAGAAAAGAAAGAAAACAATTAGCACGTTTATTTCCGGGTTTTAACCACAGCTCGAAGCTTTTTGTTACGACATTTCTATTCAAACTTTGAGTTCCAAACCAATGAACCATACGGTTAAAAAAATTTTACAACCCAATGATGTTTCTCATGAATGACCATTCTGATCATCAGAGATTTTTTAAGTGTACAGCACAAAGTTTTTGTTTGGAGCATCGCAAAAATTATATTGTACTGAAATATCTATTTATATAGATAGATATATTATATAATTAATATATATATATATAATAAACTTTTTCTACGGTCTTTTTAGTGATAGATCTCTCTAACGTAACATATAGATATAAAAAACGTAATATGATGTTATTAAACGTAACATTGACATTGGAGATGTGTAACATGATCTTTAGATGACTAAATTTCTTAGTGTTATACCTCTTCAACAACAATGTTATGTTCAATAAAATCAGTGGTACTTTTTTTTCCCTATCTACATATATATAAAATAGGATTTTTCTACGGTCTTTTCAGTGGAAGGTCTCTTTGACGTAACATGTAGATATAAAAAATGTAACATGACGTCATTAAACGTAACATTGACATTGGAGAGATGTAACATGGTCTTTGGATGATTAAATTTCTTAGTGTTATACCTCTTCAACATCAATGTTACGTTCAATAGAACCAGTGTTACTTTTTTTTTTCTATCTACATAGTACATCTGAGGGACGTCCTACAGAAGGACCGAAAAAAAAGCCTTATATATAAATAAATATATAGGTGAAGTCTTAAATTCAACATCCGTACAGTTAGAAAATATAACTTTTTCTTTTATTCTCTTGTAATATCGTTCATATGTGTATGACATTCCGCTTGTTTAAGTATAATACTCAATGTTACGTGTGTTGAATTATATTATCTCAATATTACATTTAAATGAACTGAGTTTACAGAAAAAGTTGCAATTGCCGCTTAAGACATTTCCTATGTGTGTATATATATAGACGAATTTTTAATAGTTACGTTTTTATCGATAGTCACTTTTAAATATAGAAATTTAATGATGTGACGTAATAACAATATAATTATTAGTTCTCATTAACTTTTTAATGGCTAGTAAATATTAGAGTAACTAATATAATGCATAATATACAATAATATACTATTGTATACAAATAGAATTTGGATGAATTCTTTGGATCATATAAACTAGTGTGTGCATAATAATACGATATACGAATCGATATTATAATACAATCTTATCCTGGGTGCACTAGAAGATGTATATGATTGGTTCCTTTTTACTAATTTATCTTCAGAAATAATGCTAAAACTGGCGTTAATCTATTTTTTCGGCATAATTTTTAGCATTAAAGTTATCCAAACAGTCTACAAAACAACTGATTGCTTTTGTCTATAATTTGGTGAGTAATGGAAAAAAAAAAAAAAAAAACAGGTTATTCATTGGTTGATACTACACAAAAATATAATATAGACGTGCTGGAATGCGGCTATATCTCCATATATGTAATAGGTAGATAGGATACAGGAGGGAGCAGAAACTGTCCGTTGTACACACGTTATTAATATGTATCTTTCCGGATTGTTTGTTTGGTGAAGTAACGACCAATATATCAGAGAAATCATGTAATATCTTACCACATAAGTAATTAAAATTACAAAAACTGATAAATTTACCTAACAGTTGCGTTGCTAAACTTAAGTAATGTGGTTCGGCTTGTACCAGAAAACATTGCTTTTCATGCTGGTTTCACAGCTAATGGCAAGTCGCTCTTTCAATGTACTATTTTAGTGTCTTCTCAAACCTATTTCGGTTTTCTTGTTGCCAATAATTTAAAAAAAAAAAAAAAAAGTTCTTCGTCCTGTATAAAAAGCCTTACAAGTTATAACAAGTTCACACAACAAAAGAAACACAAAAATTTTGATAATTGATCAAAACACGACACACACGACACGTGACACGAATTGCCACCCCTACACAAAATAGTAGGTGAAAGAGAAATTGATTGAAAGAAAGGAATGGCTAAATCCTCAACGTCCTTTGTCTTTGTTTGCTTCATTTTCTTGATTCTGGGGAAATCTGAAGCTCAATTAGCACCAGCTTTGTATGTGTTTGGAGGCTCAACGGTTGATGCAGGAAATAACAATGATATCAACACATATGCAAAATCAAATTATGGTCCTTATGGTGTAGATTTTCCTTGTGGAGTCACAGGCAGGCCCACAAATGGTTATACCATGGCTGATTTCATTGGTAAGTAAAAAACATTATTTACAGAAATTAAAAAAAAATTTATATGCTTAAATAGAACGGCCACAAGTTAATATTAAGATTTTTAAAAAAAATTATAAAGCATCAAGAAGGTTTATGTTATTATTATTATTATTATTATATACATTTTTTTTAGAGAAATTGTGATAAATAGCATATTTTTTAAACTAAATTATGTAAATAGCAGATTTTAAGACTATTTAAAGTAAATATAAGTTTACCATGTAAATGAAAATTTACGTGGTAAAAAAACTTAAAAAATCTTTATTTATGCCGAAAAAAATCTTTTTACTAGTCTTAAAAAAGAAAATTTACATAAAAAATATTTTTACTAATTGTAAATGAATCATTTATGAGGTAAACTGCTATTTACTCCAAATAGTTTTAAAAATATGCTATTTACTCCATTTAGTTTCATAAAGATACTATTTACTATATTCTTTTTTTTTTGAAAAAAGAAAAAAGAAAAGAACACCACAGGATATTATAAAAACTACCTACTAGTGTTGAGTATAAGAATGTGGGAAAACTATTGTAAAATCAAGTAGTAGTAAAACATCGGACATGATTTTCAAGAAACAAAACACAGATTTATGTCATGTAACATATGTTGTTCCTCTTTTTGCAAAATACATAAACTAGGGGTGTGCAATAAATCATTCAAGCCTATTAAATTAAAAGAAAACCAAACTAAACCAATTAATAATCAATTTGATTTGGTTTAAATTTTTAAAAACCCAAATGAATTAGTTTGATTTGTGGTTTTAGCCTTTAAAAAACTAAACCAAACCAAACCAATTCCATCCATATATACTTTTCTAAAACTATATATATTTTGAAAATCTGTAATATATTCGTATATAAAAAATAGGTTTATTCCAATATTAAATTATCAGAACCCTAAAAGTTTTTATTATAAGAAATGTCTATCATACAAAATATTAGTACTAATTATGTTTAAAGAGTTCGAGAAGATGTTATAAAATATTAGTTCAAACCAATTAGAAAACCCACATCAAACCAATTACAATCAGTTTAGTTTGGATTGGATTAGATCTCTTAATTGGTTTAGTTTAGTTTAAAAATCTCTAAACTAATTTATAACTGATTTAGTTTACATTTCAACTAAAATAAGCGATTTGGTTGGTCGCACACCACTAACATAAACACACAAACAACACACCAAAAAAATAAAAAAGCGGATAACTTCTTTTTCTTTTTCTTTTTTTTTTTCAGTTAGTTATATTTAATTCTGTGGTATAAATGCAGCTGAATCACTTGGATTAAAACTTCCACCTGCCTTCAGACTTGTCGATACTCAGACGTACAACGATTGTCAAGGTTTTAACTACGCATCTTCCTCGGCTGGAATTCTTCCAGAATCAGGCTTTGTAAGAAAAAGAAACTTAAATTATGAACTTTCTATTAATTAGTTTGTCATTCCAATTATAACATATTTAATTACATCTCATATATATTTCAGAAAGGAAGTTTGAGCTTGGGCGAACAAGTTGGCTTGTTTAGGAAGACCGTTGAGGAATATTTACCATTGCATTTGAAGAACAAAGACGACCTCTCCAACCACTTATCAAAATCCATTTTTCTTTTTGTTATGGGTGTCAACGACTATGGCTTGAATTTTCTTAAGAAAAAGAACAGTGGCCAGCCATTCGACGAGGACGCGGCTGCTTAACTCCTCCTAGAAAATTATGGAAATCATTTTCAGGTAATTTTTATCATTATCATTATTATCTTAGGATGTATTTAGTACGAGAATTCGTGTTATGGTTCGAATCATAGTTCGTTACTCACTACAGTATTTTTTCTCATAAAAAATACACATAAACTAAAAATAATTCTAAATCATAATTTTAAATCCATAAATCAAACGTCCACTTATTTATAAATATAAAATAAACAAAACAACATGGTCCCATAAGTAGGCCCCGCCTGTTTGTGTATGATGGGGTAAATATAAAATGAACAAGAGTTTCCGAAAGAAACAACATATGATACTTTTTTTTTTTTTTTGGGGATAACATATTGATTCAAGTACAGAGTTAGGATTCATTTTAGTGAGGGCACTCATAAGATTTTTTTTTATTTCTCACTAATTTTATTTGTTTCTTTATAGTTACTAACAATTTTCTTTAAGAAATAAATTATAAATATGCAAATCAAAACTAATCTTCAAGATTAAAAAGTAAATTCACACATAATTAATCAACACAAACTTATTATTTTAAAATAGTATTAATTCAAAATTAAACAAAGTTTTTTAATAAAAGCGTGGAAGAAAAAAAGTGGATAATAAAAAAGAAAGCAAATATTGTCTAAGATTATTCAATCAAAAAAATAATGACTTTCTAGGAGATTAATCTCCTAGAAAGTCATTATTTAGTGGGATAGGTTCAAGAAAAAAAAAAAGAAACTCACTTTTTATGGAAAAATATATTTTGATGGAAGTACATTTATAAAATTATATAAAATTATAAGTGAAAATTAAATAGATAAAAAGTGTAGACCTCCATGTATCTCCGTCCATGGGTTCATTTATGCATGTGTTTGCAGGATTTGTATGCATTGGGGGCCAGAAAATTTGTGGTGTTCAATATTGAAGCAATGGGTTGTTTGCCCTCGTTTGTGAGTCAGCTTAAACCACAGAATTCAAAGTGCGTGGATAGCTTAAACTCAATGGTGCTTAAATTCAATGAGAAGCTCCCATTGAAGCTTCAAGGATTAGCCTCTTCCCTTCCAGGCTCGAACTTCGTTGTTGGGAATAATTATGAGCATATTCTAAATTTGGTGGAGAATCCTAACTACTATGGTAAGTAACTTTATATTAACACATTAGAAAAAGAAAAAAAAAAGATTATGTGATATGTTGAGAATGTCCCCTTATTTTTTTTTTAATGTAGATTTTGTGAAAGTGGTTAATATTTATTACGTTTGTGAAGTTATATATAACTTACTATCTAAAATTTTATTTGCAGGGATACAAGTAGCATCGGTTCCATGTTGTGCGCTTACACCCTTTGGGACATGCGATGGCAAGAGACCACCTTGTGAAGACAGAAAATCTCATGTCTTCTTTGATGCTTTTCATCCTACTGAAGCCGCTTACAAGATTCTCGCTCAAAATTGCTTCGGTGACTCCGGTGCATGCATTCCAATGAATATTCGACAACTGGCATCGATATAATGTAATAAGAATCCTGACTCATGCATTCTAAAATGTATTATCTCCTTTCTCCATAAATTTAACGGATTGCTGACATGGCATTAGTATTAAGTGTCTTTTCATTTGTAATGAGTATAAAACGTTCGTTAAAGGTTTTTAAAAGATAATTATTAAAAAATATATTTCATATTAAATAAAATAAAATAATAAGTTAATTCTTTAACTTTCTCTTTCATTCTTTCTCGTTCTCCCCCACTAGACTAAAATCATGGATTTATTTAATGTAAATACTAATGTCAATTATATATTTAATATCAAAAAGTATGATATGACATGTTATTTTTATTTTTATTTTAATGAATAATGTTTTTTGAAATGATAAATCTATTTTTTCTCATAATCATTAAACTTTTAAAAGTTGTAAAAATTGTAGGCCACCGGATTGTGATGAGGGACAATGGGCTCCACGACCTTCACAACAAAGGGCAGCTTTTGCGGCGCGGGACTTGCAGTTATGGCAGGGGTGGAATAAAACAGAGATTCTTTCTTTAGTCTTCTAATTTGAATTTGTTAGTACCGGATCCCAACAGAATTTATTCCTGATAATAGGGAGGGAAAAAAAAACTCAATCTTAATCCCTGTTTTGACGGTTGGTTTGTGGGTTCTTCATTATCTTTTGGGTATTCCATGAATGATGTTGAACTGGTAGATTAAAGCTTAGGAGCTTAGTGTTCACTTGAAAATTGTAGATTAGTTGATCTTTAAAGATTTGAAAAAAATATATATTTGATTGTATGATTAGTGAAGAACTATAGTTGTTTCTTTAATGAGTATGTCAGATTTTGTCTTTCTTTTTGTTGGGAGTAATCTTCATCAATGGGTTTTGGGTTTTTCTATAGTTTTGAATTTTGATCATTTTTCTTGCCCCAAGATCTGTTGACTTTCTAAAAAAAAATATTTTTTTTTTTGAAGAACTTCTTATTTATGTATTATTAATCAAAGTTCAAATTATAATTTTTTAAAAAACCATTAATTAATTTATACTCATTTATTAAATGAAAAAACCTTAATACAAATGCCATGTCAGCAAACCGTTAAATTTATATCTTCTATTCTTTTTCTATTATGCACCACTTGTTCATGACACATAGAATCACTCTATGGTGTTCATGGATTTCTAAATTAAGGCAAGGGTCAAAATTTTACCAAAATATTTTAATTTCTTTTCCATTTTACAACAATAAAGTAGCCAGCAAGGAGACACAGGTTGAAATTTTACCAGAAGTTTTTTAATTTGTTTCCCATACAAAAAGACATTAGTGTCGGCTGCTAACATACAAATTTCATAAAAGATAAAAAAAAAAAAAAAACAGACATTAGCTAATGATTTTAGGGAACTTCTACATTAGGATTTTAACTGCAATTTAAGACCTTAAGCAAAAATTTTAAAAGGGGTCTTTTTTTATATTAAAAAAAGGTTTAATATATTAAAAATCAATTAAACCTATTTTATATTTACTTTTCGCCTTTTGAGATGCAATTAAATCTTTATATTCAAGCTTATTTAATAAATCTTTTTCAATGAAAATTATCCAACAAAATACTTGCGAGTCTCAAATGTAATCAATAAATTGGTAAGAAAAAAAGTATAAAAGAAAGATAACAACTTAAAAAGCTCTTGAATTAGGTTGATGAATGAGCAGGAATAAGTAAAGTCATAAACAAGACTCGAGAACAGATTAATAGAGCAGTTTTTTCCCAGTTTTTCCACCATCTTTAATGTTTTTGTTGTATGTAAATTAGATAAATACAATATATATCTTTAAGTAAATAAATATAACCCTATTTTGTTTTAGTAGAAAAATAATTAAAGAAAATATAGCAAATCAATGTATAATGTATGCAATATTTTTTATATATATATATATATATTTCGTGTTTAAAATAAATGAAAATTTTGACGGTTGGTATTCTCCTATAAATAAGTATTTGTGTGCACAATAAGTCAAGAATCTCAAATTTCAAGTAGGGGTGTAAGAATTCAAGTTGAACTTGACAAACCCGCCTGAGTCGATCTTACCTACCCGAAAATAGTGGAATTTTTTTTTTTTTTGCGGTAGCAATAATGCCCAACCTGCAAAGTGCGGATAAGATCACAGGACAGATTCAAGGAACCCGATATTGCCCCTACCCGACCGAATTTATCAGCACAGGGAAGGGAAATAAATCAGCCTTAAATCTAATGTTTTCTTTGGCTCAATTCTAACGTTTTCTTTGACCACGGCTATTTTCGAACACACACTACACAACACAGCTTTTTTCGGACACACACAACATAGGCCCAATCCCAACGTTTTCTTTGACTAATGATAATGGGCTTAATTGTAAGAACCCCAACGTCAAGGCCCAATCTGACCAACCCGGTCACCTCGAGTCTACCTGAGGTAATCCGAAAGGTTACATGTTTGTTGGCTTAAAGAAGTGTTGCAGCCCAAATATTTCTCAACCCGCACATTACGGCTCGGCCTAATTTCAGGCCCAAGGCCGATCCTACCTGGTTGACTTACAGGCCTAATTTCAAGTAGAAATTTATCTTCAAAATATTGATTTTTTTTTTCTTTTTAATTTTATCGTAAAAGGTCATAATAAATAGGTATAATTAATTAAGACTCGTACTTATACGGGGGCCTTCATTATTTGGGCCCTTAGGCAATTGTCTAATTGGCCCGGCTTTGGCACTTATTATTATTTTAACTGTTAGAATAAGATTTTAACACTCTATTATGTGAGTGTCTATGTTAAAAGTTTGCATTAATGCCACAAAATTGTTACAATAATAAATTAGACTGTTGAATTCTTAATCTAACGGCTAATACAATAATAACTACTGATACTTGAAAAGAGAGATCCTACTGGACAAATACTGATGTGTGTGTAAATATACATTTTTTTTTTCAAATAAATTGGACATATTTTTTTATGATTAATGCATAGCACAGTTCCTTAAAAACAAAAGGTAAATTCTTTCACATCTGCTCCCTTCGTAGGGTACCTCCCTCTTTGTTTAATGCACGACGTTCTTTTTCAGGAAAAAAAAATGCAAAATGTTTATTACACAAAGAGGTCAAAATAATCTTTCGTATACAGGTTTCTTTTTCAGAAAAAAAAAATTCAGACAATGTTGTGTGGGAAAATGTGAAGGACACGTGGAAGAACGATAATATGACACGTAGCCTTAACTACTCCCTGCAAAGCAACAACTCTCGACGTCTGAGGCTCCCTCCCATTCCGTTATAAAGAACCCAAGTGAAAAGTCCAACTTAGGGCGTCGATTCCTTCTGGCGTCGACAGATCGTACTGTCGACCTTAGGACATAGAAATCCCTCGACTGTGGAAACCGCCAAGAAGGACAGTTGGGTTAAGCAACACTGGCGACGAGGGGAATGCTCTTTGGGGAAAATCTGACGTGGCAAATTGCATACAAAAGTGGGGGATGACTGCAAGGCAGACATTTATTGCGAACCCTTAAACCGCCCCACAGGGGATAGAAAAGGGTTACAGGAACGCACAGAACCGTAATAGAAGACTAATTGGCTGAGTGAACAGTACTCCAAGTAATTAGTGGGCTACGTCTGGGCCTAAAAAGGGAGAGTACTTGAGTGCTTCTGCCTACAAAGGAAATCAACCCAGCGAAGGAAGCCCCCAATATAAAAAGGGCGAGACCCCATACAGGAAAGGGGTTGAGATCCGAGAGAAAAAAGAATGAGAAAGAACAATTGATGTAAATTGTAATCCCTTCAAAAGAAATATACAACCACAGAGGATGTAGTTCTGATTTTATAGAGTGAACCACTATAAAATCTATTGTGTTCCTTATTTGTGCACATCTTTTCATTAACGCACAATACACCCCTCCAATAAATTCTTACACACATTCAACACTAAGGCCGGTAATCCAACGGGAAACCCAGAGGTAACCCGGCCTGTTTTTGTTGACGAGAATTCATCGTCAACCGACAACAACACGGCCGTTGTAATTCTTTTAATAATAATATTATTATTAAAATTAAAATTAAAATAAAAAATAATAATAATAATAATAATATTACGTTTCTATTGTAACACCGTTGTAATTATTGCATCGGACCAAAAAAATGTCCGTCACGCTCTTGGCCAAAAAAAAATATATATCCGTAATAATTAATGACAAAGATTCAAGCTCCTATTTTGGGCAGGTTTCTAATATATAGGGGAAACTTGTTAACGAGAAAAATCGATAATTGATTATTTTCTCAGAAAAAAAAAGAAAGATATCAGTAATTGATTGCCTTTTGGTCAGCGAGATTATACACTAAACGGCAATAACCCGTTTTAGTTTTTCCTATATAATAGAATAGTGCCCTAGAGAAAGAGTTATAAAACATCATTCTTCTTTTATTCTGCGAAACACTAGATCTAAAGAAGTAACATTTCGAAGCCGCCATTAAAGTTTTTTAGCTACTTCTTTCAATCTTCAACAAAGAAAAATAAAAGGTACGTCTTTCAATTTCGTTCCATATATCTTTTTCTTTGGCTCTTTTTGAAATTGTTACCGTTAATTTCTTTTTCCCTATACACTTTTATTGTGTTTGTTTGCTAAAAGTGGGTTTTCCCAAGTGCCGATTTCTATTGATTTTTAAACCCTAATTATAGTGTTATAATAATATACTTTTGGGATTAACGGTGATATAGATCATTATAGTGATACGAATTGAATTACCGAAGCCCGACTTAAGATGTAAATTTGGTTTCTTGCATCACAAGTTTCACTTTGAAATAGCTAGGGTTTGTTGTTTTTGGGTTTGTCATTCTATTTTCTTTTTGGTCTGTGGTCCATATAGTATTTGATTTGATAATTGGATTTTCATTTCGTGGTTATAGTAATTTCGTTGTATTATGATATAACCCCATTAATTCTTGGTCTCTGATTCACAAAGTATTTGATTTGTTAATTGGATTTTCTTTTCGCTGTTCCGCTCGTG